TCCTCACCTTCCCAATCTCATCTGCACTCCTAAATCACCTTCTGACACAGGTCTGATCATGAGATATTTTCACCTGTATCACATTGGTAGAGCTTCCCAGGAAAGTATAACTAAGACTGTTTTGGGATAGGACACTAAAAATTTTTTTTTCTACTTAGACACAACATAGCTTTTTCACAAATAGTTATTTCATGCATCACAGAGGACCAAGATTTTAGAATTACCACCAGCAGGATATGTTCAATCAGTGTCACAAACAGCTCACAATCCAAGGCAAGATGTTATCACTTCAGGTCATTAACTTGCTGTGAAAATACGTTATGTGTCAAGGAGTTAGAACCAACTCACAGCTGACCCTTCAAGTCTTCAATGACTGTAAATAGCACAGGAGACAGCACATCTGTCTTCCACAGAAATGCTGGTGGATTTGAACAACCTGCCATTGGCTTGGCAGTGCAACTCTTTACCTACGAGGCCATCAGAGCTCTCAGTGAAATTATTAAGAAGTTTTTATTTTCCTCCTTAGTTTAATAAATAACATAAAGAAGGAACAAAATCACATCTCCATTCTTCAGTAGACAACAGCTATCCAATTTGGTTCTTCTCCTCTGCTCTTCTGCTTGTCTTTGAGCATTTTTCTTCTTTTATTATCCACTTCTGGACGTAGGTAGAAAAGTGGTGAATAAAATGCAATATAGCTATAATCCACTAAATAGGAACACCTATAGCAAAAAGAATCCAATTACTGAAATGAGGATTTGCAATTTTAAAAATCATTAAAATGGGATTACAGGATTAACTAAGGAGTTTGTTTCACTTATCCATGCAATTTCATAAGAGTTGGTAAAGATAATACAAGTCTACTGGACTAACTACGTCTATTTCAAGACTTCTCCAATTTTCAGCAATCTTCTAAAATTTCCAGGGGTTAATACTCTGTTTCCTCTTACCTACCTAAGGAACATTTCTTTTTAAACTCATACACACACGCCACCAAGTTGATTCCAATCTATAGTGACCCAATAGCATTTTTAAGTCTCACCACTGGACCAATTGGTAGCATCAGGATGATGGTGAAGAGATTTGAGATTGTTCACAGCTTCAGTTTGCTCAGCTCCACGGTCAACACTCTTGGCACCAGCAGCCAGGAAATCAAAAAACGTATTGCGATGGGAAAGTCTGCTGTTAGGGACCTCTCCAAAGTACTCAAGAGCAACGGTGTCTCTTTGGAGATTAAGGTGCGCCTGATACAGGCCATGGTCTTTGCAATCACTTGTTATGCATCAGAGAGCTGGACAATGACTAAGGAGGACAGAAGGAGAATTAATGCCTTTGAGCTGTGGTGCTGGAGAAGAGTATTGAGTGTACCATGGACTGCCAAGATAACAGATTCATCCTGGAGATGGTTAAACCAGGCTACTCCTTGGAGGCAAAGATTCTGGGGCTTCGTCTGACATACTTTGGACATGTTGCAAGGAGAGACAGGTCTTTGGAGAGGGACATCATGCTGGGTAGAGTAGAGGGACAGCGCAGGAGGGGAAGACCCTCTATGAGGTGGATTGATTCAGTGACTGGGGTAATCGGGATGGGTGTGTCAGAGGCAATGCGATTGGCACAGGATAGAGCAGGGTTTAGGGCTCTTGTACATAGGGTCGCTATGAGTCGCAAATGACTCGACGGCACATAACAACAACAACAACAACAATCTTTATGAAAGCAGAAGGTCCCATCTTTGTACCATGGAGTAACCTGGGGGTCTGAATTGCCAACCTTCTGTTCAGTAGTCAACTATTCCACAGTTAGGTGCTGTCGAGTACACCTCATAGTGACCTTATTAACAAGAGATCTGAACTCTATGCTATCCTGTGCCATCCTCCTTATATCTGACACACTTGAGTCCTGCTGCTGTCACTGTGTCACTCTATCATTGATGGTCTCCTCCTTTACTGACTTTTCCTAACATGATATCCCTTTCCAAGGAAGTGCAACATACCCAAAGTATGAGAGACAAAGCTTTGCCATCCTTGCCCCAAGGAGCACTCTGGATAAATATTTTCCAAGATACATCTGTTCTTTTGACAGTCCATGGGATATAGTCATTGCTCTTCTTCAATACAAGTCAAAGGCATCAATTCTTACTGCTCTAACACACATAGCAAGTCAATGAAAAGATCATAGCTTTGACTCAGACACATCCTAGTCTTCAAACTGACATCACTGCTCCTCTGTAATTTGGAAAGGTCCCTGAGAGTGGATTTCCCGAATGCATTATGTCTCCTAATTGCTGATACCAAGGGTGTGGATCCAAGTAAGATAAATTCAAAATCAGCTTGGTAAAAATTCCTAAAATTGAGTTTCCCTTTATTCATTAAAACAAATGATGTAACAAGATCACTTGACAAAAACAAAGCATGATAGTTACATATTATTTATGATTTATTATTTATAAAAATAACTTCAGCTTTCTCATCATAATCACAATCTATTAAAATCTCTCCTAAAAGTCAGGAATCTTGGCGTGTAAGGTTTTCAAGTAGGTTTGTTGTGTGTGTTTTTTTGTTTTTTGTTTTTGTTTTTTTTAAAAAAAAAAAATCCAACACAAAACAAATCCAAAACCCTCCACATAAGACAGGAAAAAAACTCTAAAGCAAAATTTTTTCTAAAATTTATAATCAAAGTTTTAAAACCTGGGAAGTTTAACTTTATAACAATTTTGTGATCAAGTATCTCAAATAGCAAAAGGTGAGAATGTTATTTGCAAACAAGTTCAAATTTGAAATAATAAAGAACTGCTGACAGGTAATTTTATAAACAAAATGTCAAAACACAAAACCACGGTTGAACATTATACAGTTTTCAAACTATAAGAACATATTCATTCCACTTTAAATACTTTAACACACAGGGGGGAAACTTTTCTACTTCAAAAAATTAACACTATTATAAAATTTCCAGGATTCTCTCTAATGTATCAAGATTTCATATGAAAAAGCAGAAGTTTATTTTTATTTTGGATATAAAATAGTAAATATGAACCCAATGTAGAAATCCGATGTTACACATATCCTTTGGCAGAAAACATTTAGTTATCGAATTACAAAGTGGTCTTAAAGAAGGGGTGAGGGAAAACAAGCAAAACTAAACAAGTCAACTCTGCATTTTTTTATTAACAACACGGCCCAAAAGCATCTCAGTATACAGATTTCATAACATTTTTATAGTATCAACAAACTGAAACACAAAATTTATTACAGTGTGGCAAAAATAAAATTATTTTTAATTTAAGAAGAAACTTCTGCATGTATAAAATGTCACAGATAAATGCCAATATACACTATATACATGTCACATGTTATATCCCAAAACCACATTAGTGGAACTTAATTGGTCAATCCTCATTTAGTCAGTATACAGTTTTTATACTGGCTCAAAGACTTGCGCAGAATTAAACTTACACAATTAAGGTGTCAATTATACATGAAATTATTTACATAAACATTAAAATAACTTTATTAAATATATTTCTGGAGGGGGAAATAGTTGTATTTTCCACATAAACATTAACTAATATCAAGAGCAGCTTTGGAAATGTTTTTTAATGGATTTAAAAATAAAACAGAAGATTTGTTCCCCACCCCCCCAAAATAAGGTGCCATTTTAGAATAATTTTATCACTAAATAACTGAATTCCCACAGAAGAATAATACCACATGAGAAAGACAACACACAACATTAAGAATTAAGATGTTCTTTTGTTACATATATATAGGAAATATGCCAGTGACAGAAACGAGGCTTTCCAACACTGTTCTGTTTCTGTTTAATGGAGACCAAGTGCTAAATAAACTATTTTGTGCTAGGATGCAGTTTCTTGGAAACAGCAGTACAATGTTAATCAAGTTTCTGGAAACAGATTAAAAAAAAATGAAAATTCCCAGAGAATTGTTTTCAAATGGATTCTAAGTTGAAAGAATAAATGCTGTGCTTAAAAATCAAATGCAGTGATGTTGCTTCTAGCAAAGTAACCTTTAAAAATTAAACTTCAGTTCATGGTTTATCCCAGTCTAAATATGTCTGTAGTATATTTATTTGTATTTGTGCTATATAAAAAGTTGGTAAATTATGAAGTAATGGGTAAATTTTTAAAACCATCCCTTTTGATTTGCTACCCAATCCTTACAGTCCGGCAATCTATTAGTCCTATAAATGAACTTAAAATGTAGCCTTCAGAAAAACTGCATCAACAGCTTTTCTATCAGTACACACTGCCTACTATCATTCCACATGCTTAAAACTACTTCTGAAAGGAATGGCGAGATGTTTTAACAGCCCAGCAAAGGCTGGTATATGTCTCATCATATTATTGGGAATGTCCATGGCTCAAATTCAAAATCTGTAAAAAAGGAGTTCTATCTTTGCCTTCCATACTGAAGGAAGGAAAACACATGTACCGTATCTTCATTAGACAATGGCCAGACTCACTGAAAAGGTCGCTGGTAGCAAAACACCAGGGACCCTTGTAGGAACAGATTTCCTTGTACAGAGTGAATATATTCGGGGGGGGGGGGGGCACTCCTCAATCTATTGATGGCATTGGGTGGTAGGGGATCTGCTAAATGGTTTATTGCACATCTGCAGTTGTATAGTCTTCACCATTAGTAATAGAAAACATTTTTGTTCCTTGCAAATTGCTCTTCCTTCTGTAGACAATTATATGCTAATTATTACTCAATGTAACACTGAGAGTGAACCTGACAGTACAGCAAACACAACTGCAATTTAAGGAGCCAAAAGGAAGTATGTTGGCAAGCCAAACGCTTACACAGAAGTATGTTCGCATTTTAAAATAATAGTGTGTGTGGGAAATTGAAGAGGGGGAAAAGTGCAGACAAAAACATTAAAAAGGTTTCAGTGCTCTCTTTTTATCACGATGTCTTAAGGGGGAAAGTTTTTTGGTTGTGGGGTTTTTTTGTGTGTTTTTAAAGTAAAACACTTATGCTTAGCTGTTTAGTACTTATTGGTGTCCAGATTTATGAGGAGGCATTTTAAAACAAGACAAAACTAACTAGAAGCATCGTTGATCAGAACTTTGATTTCAAAGAAATTGGACTAAAAAAAACAAAAACCCCCAAAAACAAAAAGAAACAACCCTTTTATGGCCTTAGTAGAATTAAGATAGGCTTTTGTGCTTTATTCATGGTCCTTTGAGTTGAGAGATTATATTTTTTTTCTTTTAATATTTTCAGACGAAAAACAAAGGACTGAATAACACACTTGAGAATGCTTTCAGGAAAATGCCTGGTTTGTTTCTACAGGAGAGGCTGCTGATGGTAATTCGTCTGCTGCTGTGCAATGGAATGGGCTGGAACGGCCAGTGGAAAGCCCGCCACTTGTGGCAAACTGGAAGTAGTGTTCTGATAAGATGGCATCTCCACAGACATCGCCATCTGCTGTGTGTAAGCCGCTGTACCGGGAGCTGATTGAAGATTAGAGTTCTGGGTCATGTACGTGGGATTGGAAACAGTGTCTTGACCAGTGCTACAAACAAAATTTCCAAAAGAAAACCACCTTTACTTTATATGAACAGAGTTATAGTCAGAGAGCAGTCATAATGGCAAAGTTAAAATGCTTTTTCCATCTTCTCAAGTCCATGTAGCACTGCCAGTGTGATTATCAGTCACTCCAGCTACCAAACACTGACAAAGTGATTCTGACATTTATTAAAAGAAGTATATTCAGGAAGACCAAAAGCATAATAGTATAAGGTGTATGCAATATAAGTGCCTACAATCTCTCAATAAACAGAGAAAAGATTTTTGAGGAGGTGGAATTACTAAAGTGTAAGACTTCTGTTTGTTCCTTAGATACCATGGCATATATTTCTTTAAAAATACATCATTTCAAATTACAACAAACATATGCTTTATAATACAGGCACATTCAACCAAGTATTACATGTTCATTTAACTAACCACCAGCAGTGTACAGAAAGACTCCTTCAGAGATTATCTATACACGACCATATTCAAGTAACATTTTCTTTGGCTTAAGCAAAATGAACAGAAAGCATGATGTAAAGATGCTTCTCAGAATAGAGCTACTAGTACCAAAAGTACACCACAAATTCTACAGCCCAGAAACACTTCATTTTTTTAAGGGTCAAAGTAATGGCATACTGTGATTTTTAGAGGTGCACGCGGATAAATACGTTAGGGATTGCTCAATTAGGCTGACTGCTACGTGAAGGACAGCATGGAATCAATACCCACAAAGGACAGCGACTCGAAGGCAACTGACAAGAACAACAACAGGCATGTGCAGTTCCACAACTTCATCTTTATAAGGAAAGAAGCTACAAAGCATCATTCTGAAAGTTTGTGGACTTAATTAACGGATACATTTACAAAACAAACACAGCTCTTGGAAACTCACCTTAAATACGGAGTTTGCACAGGTTGCGCTGTCACAGAGGAAGTCACACTCGGAGGCAGAGATCTCATTGGGCCCATGGGATCTGGTCCTAGGCTGTAATTCTGGGCGACAGTGACTTGGTGAATGCCTTGACCCACATAGTTTCCACCATGTGACTGAACTGGGTATGGCTATTAACCAGAGAGAAAATGTTCACTCACAGAGCTCTAAAAACATCTACCAAGCAGTATGTTTAAGACACTGAAAGACTTAGAGCAAATGCTGTAGACCTTTGGGGAGGAATCCAGTTTTACTACTTATCCACCCTGGTATGAAAAGTGTGGAGTTCCCAAATAAAAGTGCCAAATCAACAGACACTTATAATTTGCCTATCTGTCTTTATATATTGCAGGTGGAGCTGGAGGGGAAAAGACAAAAGGGAGGAGTATACTCTTAAGGACTGGAATCTATCCAGGTTGTCTCTGCCTCCCTAAGAGATCTTTCCATAGAGTCACAGAAAATCACACTTCTCCTTGGAGGAAAGCACACCATCACTTCTTGAGACCACTTCTACCATGATGGCCGTTTTTACCCTACTCTCAGACGACTCATCTAATTCCTTCCCAAGCCTCAACTCATGAGGAAAAGCTGAAGAAGAAACTGTATCAAAGAGCAGCAGACTCTCACTGGCAATGCTACCTTTATTTCCTGTCTTCAGGTCAAACAGGAAAGAAGTGAAAAAGCAGTTATGTGGATAAACAGAAGATACATCCTAAGGAAACAGCAGAAAGCAAGGCATAAGGCTCTTCTGACTACTTGTATGTGCTCTATTTGTCTAAATCTTAAGGGTAACAGCTTCTTTAGGACAGGATCCTCATGGTGTCAATTATATACAGCATTTAAAACAATGCACAATTTGAGTTTTAAATTGTGCAGATATAGGTTATATAAGAAATCAAACTCATAGAAAGCTAACTTTTTAAAAAAATGTTAGGCAAATCACAGTTGTGTTAAACAATACACAAACAAAAAAAGACCTGACACAAGAATGACGAATGACCTTTTTCACGCACAAGAAAGCAAGTACAATGTACAAGTCTATCATACAAATGGTGTGAACTTTCCAAGTCTGTTCCATTTTCACAGCAGCAAACAACTTTGAAAGCAGAGGCAACTTTGAAGACACTCTAGTTGTGTCTTGTATCCAGAAACCATTCCTATCCTCATATGTCATGACTCATCATTAAGTTCAGGGAATGGAAAATTTGATAAATGATCAGATGAGACAGTCACCACAGTAACTAATCTTATCTTTTGCTTAGCAATTATGTATGTAAAGTTGTCTAAACTGTGCAGTCATATTTCCACTGGTGTCTCTTCACAACTCCTTTCTCTACCAGTTTTCACAAATCAGCAAGATTTGCTCAATCATAGAGTCATTCTGAAACTCAATCTCTAATTTGCTGGAATTTGGAAACAACTTCGGACTGAGGATGAAGCACTTGCTTCAGTTTACCAGTATAACAAAGGTGTAAAGTTCCGGAAGATGATGATGCTCACAGATGGAGCCTGTCACAGGCTTCGAAACTAATAAAATCAAAACAACAACAAAAACCCAAGCAAACCGTAGGACTCATTGCCCAGGATGGAGTCAGAGCTGACTCTTGGCTGACTCTCCACTGAGTTTCTAAGGTTATAGACCATACAGGGAGGAGACTGCTTATCTTTCTCCCAGGAAGTCATTTGTGGACTGTGGACTATGCCACCATCTAAGAGAAGGACATACAAATCAAGGCTCAGAGAACAAAGTAAGGTCATTATATAGGCCTTTAATAACTATGTTAAGTCCGAGAATTCCTGAGCATAATTTTTAAAAAATGTTAAATCCTGCTTGCTGAGGAGCAGAAATAGCATCATCATCATCTTATTTGGAGAACTCTGGAATGGCTAGCACTAAATCACTTTAAGCTTACAAAAGCACAAGAAGAACCAAAACTTTCCTCATTTATTTCAGAGTCACTCATGTTACAAATGAACTAAGCTATATTTATGAAATTTTAATGTCTAATTTGTTCTGATGAATAATTACTTAGCCAGCTAATATTGCTTAAAAAGGTCAAAGTAAGTTTTATACATCACAGAACTTTTACCTACGATTTAAAACAAATTAATTGAAAAACTTGTTTGGTTTTTTTAATTTGACAAAGGTTCTCCAAGAACATGCTCACCTGCACTGGAACCCCAGCTGACGCAGGTGGGTAATGTGCTGGAGTGTGGAGCTTTGAATAGACTGGATACACTGGAGACTCATTCATCAATTTGTTATACAGTTCCAGGGCTTCCATGACTTTAACATTCAACTCAGACAGTTCTGAATGCTTCCTGATACAGAAGAAAGGAACTTTAATAATCTTCAAAATATTAAGTATATATTTAGCAAGAGGTTATATTTTAAATTTAGCATTTTTTTTTAACTCTGGTTTTAAAAGATTCTTTTTACATACAAGCAAAAAATAGCCACAATGGGAAACTGGTAGAAAGGAGTATTTCATTCTTATAATAGGTAGGCTCATATATCAGAGAAAGCCTTTTTTTTCATGTCTCAAAAACTGCAATCAAGTAATAATTTTTTTTTCTGGGTAATTTTGTTGCATATGGTAAAAGGTTTCTGATGAAAACTCGATTATAAAGAACAGTAATTTTTTAAATCTAGATAAAAGTCCAAGACTTAAATTATACATGGCAGTAAAGGAAAGCCCATTATGAAGCCCAGAGTCTCTTCTGGAGAGTGATGTGACTGAAATAAAATACATTCTCACATATACACAAAACAACAAGATCACACACAATTTCATTTGTTTATATCCTTGAACTGATCATCTGAAAGAAAAAAAAAAGGACTGAAATTCTCTTTAAACATTAAGTGAAAACAACATACATGTGAACTAATCTCTATTGCTCATCTGTTGGTCTGTTTTTGAGAAAATAAGTGAAATCAGGTAACTTAGTATTTAACCACAGCAAATCCAAATTAAGAGCATTTCTAATTTGGCTGAGGAACCCTAGAATCAATCTTTGTGACCTGAAACATTCTACTTATTCCACTGGAAGTAATAAGGAACTCCTTATAACCGAGAAGTTTTTAACAGTTGAAAGGCCACTTGTGATCTAGAAAAAAGCATCCACAAGCCTGCTTTTTAAATGTGGTTCTTTCTATACAAGGTTAGGAATGGCCAGTTCAAGGACAACAACGACCATTACTGCCTTCCAGTCCGTTCTGACTCATGGAATCTTCAAAGGACAATGAGAACAGCCCCCTGGGTTCTCAAGGCTGTATGCAAATAGGCTGCCCACCTTTCAATTAACGGTGTAGCTCTTCCACCAATGCACAAGCAGGACAATTTGTCTTTTAATGTTTAACAAATGTGCCCTCATTTAGAAACAACAGACATACTCCCAAATTCTTCCTTACAATCACTTACAATCACTTTTACTTGCTGCAGGTGCATGAAGCTTGTAAATAAATCACTGAAGACATTTTAAGTCTTTTCTTGAACTAACCAAACCAAAAATCAATCCTAGCACCAACCTATCAATTCTGACTGACAGTATGCCTGCAGGACAGAGGAAAGCGGCCCCAAAGGGTTCCCAACGCCGAAATCTTTAAAGAAGCAGACTGTTGTATCTTCCCCCCCCCCCCCAGGCTGGCTAATGGATTCTAACCATCATCCTCTCAGCAGCCAAACACTTTAACCTCAGTCCCACCAGGGCTCCGTCATGCATGGAAATCCCCAAATCTACTGCCAACGAGTTGATTGTGACTCGCAGTAACCCTGCCCTAAGAGTTCTGGAAATCTTTATGAAAAATGATGACCTCATCTTTCTCCTACAGAATGAAAGGACGATCTCATCTTTCCCCACCTTTTTTGGCTGCTAGATTCGTGAATCACTGAACAACCAAGGTTCCTCCTTTTACTAAAACCAAACCCAAACCCACTGCCATCAAATTGACTGATGCATAGGAACCATATTTGACAAAGAAATGCCCATAAGGTTTCCAGGTGTCATCTTTACAGGAGCAGACTGCCTAACCTTTCTCTCAGACAGCAGCAGGTATATTAGAATCAAAGATCCTTCAGCTGTCAAAGCTTAGTCCACTGTGCCACCAGGGCTCCTCTGCCAATCTGAACTAAGGCCAAGTAAGAACCATTATGTACCCACAAATTTGACTTAATGGATTAAAGAAAAATCAGGAACAGATCTTAGCAGGTAATCCAAGGTCTGCTTGTTACAGAGAGGAGAGAGAAGCAGAGGCAGATGATAGCCACCAAAGGATGGCCAGGTAAATCTTATCATGACTTGTCACTCTTCTGTCATCAGAATTTCACTCAAACTAACAGAAGTGCTTATTTCCTCTCCTGCATGAATGTCTAGTTTAGAAATACCAGATGGAAAACATACAGAAAGCTTCAAACATTAGTGCCCATGATAAAAGATGTGGGATTAAGAACTGGCTCTAGGAGGCTGGTCTCCATAAACCCAGTGTGATGATGAAACACAGGAGACAACAGGAGGGCATCATTCCAGTTATCTCCTACTCTAGGGAAGTTTGCTCTATGTGATTTTGCTTTTACAAAAGAGCTATGAATAGGAGTTGCTACATGCTGTTGGGTTGGAAGCAACTTCCAGCTCATCTTCTAGTGGGTTTTCAAGAGTATAAATTGCATGGGAGTAGACTGCCCAGCTTTCTTCCATGTAGCAGCTGATGGATTTGAACCACATGCCTGTAAAGTGCCAGTGCAACTAACTTTTTACCATTAGACTACCAGAGCCATGATTAGTAGTGGCACCTGTTTTCACTGAAGAGGCACCATGTAACCCAAGCAGCCCAGCCACTAGACTGTATATACATTATTTCTACTTTAAGCAATGTACTGCATCTTTCCTTCTTTTACTGTATGTTGGTACTATTTTAAGTTTTATTTGTTATTTGGTATGTTTTGACTCTTGGACTACTCAAAAATTTTTTACTCAATATTTCTTACATAAAGTAATAAAAATTGCTTCTTTGTTGTAAGCTACTATTAGAGTTATGAGAATGTTTCATTAAAAAAAATCTATCAGGTAACAGGAAAACCTCTAATAACTCATGATATGTTTGCGATTAACTTCAAACAATAAAACTATTTACTGAGCTATATCCCAAGACCATTAGGTGAGAGAGAAAAGTCAAAGGTTTGGATTTCTCTATTAAAAAGTCTGCAATCTATTAGGAAGCTAAGCTAAAAATATATAAAATGGCAAATGACACAAGATCTCACGTAACAGCACACAATGTTAAGTGAAATAGCTGGGCAACAGCTGTATAAGAGTTTAAAGGAGAGGAAAAGCAGTTGTGGCTGTGGTAAACAAAAGATTTCATGGGAAACTTGGTACTTCAGCTGGTAACTGAGGAAGGATGAACAGACGGAGTAGAATAGAATAAGCTAGGTCAGGGTGACAGTGTAGATGCAGGCAGGCAAAGGAAAAAGGGCAAGGGGAAGAATGCAAAAGAGTATCTTGATTAACGCAGGAGAAAACTTAGAGGATAACAGCAATAAGATTAGACAAGAATGGAACATAGTTAAATCGAGACTATGTATCTCTCATTAATAAAGCTATCTACTTTATCCAGAGTCAATTTATAGTTTTACTCAAGATAATTTCCGACAGTCATAAATGCCATAAAATCCCAACCCATACTGTGAGAGATATAAGTAAAATGTAAGATTCAACTATCTGACTTTTTCTTCTTAAAAGCAACAAACTTGTAATAATCTATTCAGGGGAAAACACGTATTAGGTACTTTAATCTTCAAATTTTTAAGCATGTATTAAAAATAAATTGGGCAACAAAATTTACTTTTTAAATTTTTAAAATATAGTACATGAATAATACTTCACTTCTCTCTGAAAATTTAATAACGGTTAGACCATGCCACACATTGCTGTTGAGATGGAACTGATTACTAGCTGATCCTTCAGTGGGTTTCTAGGGCTGTAAATTGAATGGAGGAGACTGCGTATTTTTCAAATCAATACATAGAGTTGGGGTTCTTCTTAGCCCAACTCCCTGCCTATGGACTAAGCCATCAATTGTTGTTGCTATTATATTATATGCCATGGAATCATATTATATCTGATCCTCCAGTGGGTTTTCAGAGGTTGCAAGTCATCTCACATACTTTGGCCATGTGGTTGGAGAGGCTACTTCTTGGAGAAGGAGATCAAGCTTGGAAAGGTAGGGAGACAATGAAGGGAGAGGAAGACCCTCAACAAGATGAACTGACACAGTGACAAGCAATGGGCTTGAATATGTCAGAGATTGTGACGATGGCACAGGATAGGACAGGTTTCAGATCTGTGGTTCAGAGGGCCATTATGAGTTGTACTTGACTCAATGGGACCTAACAGTAATAAGTCACATATGTGGAATGATATTACTCATCTATCTTCCACTAAGCAGCTGGTGGATTCAAACGGTTAGTTTTTGGGTTGGCAGTGCAACTTCTTGCCACTCGGTCACTAGAACTCTCTCAAAAATGGTAGCCAATAAAATTTTGCTGAACAATTGCAAGGACTTTCGAGAGTACAAGCTGCAGCTATAATCAATGGCCATAGAGCAAGAAACCATGAGTTGGTCTATTACAAAACTAATGAAAGAAGTGGTTAACAGTGGACCTCTCACTCAAAGAACAGGCTCACATCAGATAAGACTGCTCTCAATTACTTTAGGTTTTATTCTTTGAAGATGTTCTTTTCATTAGCAAAAATTTATACTATAATGTCTTCTATAGCTTTCCATGTCAAAAGACATTTATCATTGACAATGTTTTTCACTCTAGAATGTATAGACATGATTTGTTAAAACCAATTTCCATATTAAAAGGCTTTTGTTAGCCCCAAATAAGCAAAGCACTCCTTAAGAATAGAAGAACAGTAGGAGGTATCTCACTCCCTGATTTCAAATCCTACTACACTGCCTAGATCAATGGAATAGAATTGAGAATCCAGAGATCAACCCATCTATCTATGGTCAACTGATTTTTGACAAGGAGATGAAATCAGTGAAGTGGGGAAACGACAGCCTTTTTAACAAATGGTGTTGGCAAAATTGGAAAAATATCTGCAAAAGACTCAAGCAAGACCCACACCTCACTCCATACACAAAAACCAACTCAAGGTGGATCATGGACCTAGGACTAAAACCAAGGACTATAAAATTCATTACAGAAAAGCTAGGAACAACACTAGAAGTCCTAATCCACAACATAAACAGTCTTCCCAGTATCCTGGAAAACCTACAACCAGGAGAAGATAACATAGATGAATGGGATCTTCTAAGACTCAAATCCCTATGCACATCCAAAAACTTCTCCAGTAGGGTAAAAAGGGAAGCCACTGACTGGGAAAAGTATTCGGTAACAACATATCAGATAAGGGACTTATATCCAGAATTTATGAAATACTTGAGCACCACAACAAGATAAAGGTAAAGAATCCAATAGAAAAATGGGCACAGGATATGAACAGGCACTTCACCAAAGATGACATTCAGATGGCTAACAAGCACATGAAGAAATGCTCAAAATCCCTAGCCCTAAGAGAGATGCAAATTAAAACAACTATGAGATATCATCTCACCCCAGTCAAAATAGCAAAATTTAACAGAACAGCAAGCAACAAATGCTGGCGAGGTTGTGGAGAAACTGGAACCCTGATTCACTGTTGGTGGGAGTGTAAAATGGTGCAACCCCTGTGGAAAGCAGTATGGCGCTTTCTCAAAAAGTTGCAAATAGAGATACCATTTGACCCAGCAATTCCACTACTGGGAATATACCCTGAAGAGACCATAGCTGACATCCAAGCAGATATATGCACACCCATGTTCATTGCAGCTTTGTTCACAATAGCAAGGAGTTGGAAACAACCTAAGTGCCCATCAACAAACGAATGGCTAGAGAAGCTGTGGTATATTCGCACAATGGAATACTATGCTGCATTGAAAAACAAGGAACTTATGCAATATTATTCAAAATGGTTGACTCTGGAGAACATTATGCTGAGTGAAATATCCCAGTCACAAAATGACAAATATTACATGATGCCACTGTTGTAGAATGGGACTAACCTCGGGGTTGGGGAGAGACTGAGTAAGATGGGTTCAATAATGTATACTGCACTGAAACAGAGGAGGGAGAAAACTGTTTAAAAGAGATATATGACTAGGTATTTCTGTCATCACAGGAGTCTAGAGCGAGGGCTACATGGTGGAGGGGACCTGGGGGAGGGCTTGTAAAACAATGAAAGAATCCTTTCTTTTACTTTTCCATAATTTTTGACTCATGTACTTATAACTTGTTAGTCAAATTCGTGTCTTCTAGGTTGCAACACCCCCATGATGCATCTTCAAGGATATGAACATGTACGGCCAAGCACAATCAATAAGAGTGCATCTAAATTCCAAAATCAATCTCCATAATAGTCTATGTGTTTCCTACTGCCAAAGGGGCCCTTTAGAGTAGTGAGAGAAGATCTTCACCCTGAAACCCACAGCGTCCCTTTTCAGCAGGAAGTAGCTAAGAGAATACGCCATCCCCTTTTCCTTATGAATCAGGGTGAAGTCTCTCTCAGGGAGGAGTGATAGGGAATGGCAAAGGACACACCGACAAAGGAGATTAATCAGAACTGACTTGGACAAGCACTGTGGCAATTGGACAATTAAAACAGACATTCGGATGGCGGGGAAGAAGAACAAACTGGGGAGGAGGGTAGAGAGAATGGTGCAGCAATGAAGGAATGAAAACCCAAAATCCCTGTAAATGTTCAGTAAAACTAATAAAATTTAATAAAAAAAAAAGGCTTTTGTTACTTCCAACTTTTTTTTTTTGGTGAAAAATACTATGCTGACAGACAGACATTCTATGAGCAAATCTTTGCCTCTACCTCTACATAGTATGGGATTGAAATTGCCAAGCTGATGGGATATGGATTATTTTGGGGTTCTAGAATGGTTTCTAAAAAATGATACGGTTAGCCACACTTTTCATAACACTGATCACTTTCCTATTTAAATTCTTCAAGTCTGATAATAATCCCTTTTCTTCCACTGACCATGGATTCTCCCTTCAACTTCAAAGAGAAAGCCAAAAGGGCAGACCTAAGAAAGAATTCAGAGCTCTAATAGTCTATTACTAACTGTTAGGAACTTTGGTGGCTTACTGGTAAGGAGCTGAGCTGCCAACATAAAGACTGGCAGTTGAATCTACCAGCTCCTCCATGGGATAAAGACTGGCATTCTCCTCCCATGTGATTTATTAGCCTTGGAAAATCCACTGGAGGGTCAGCTAAGATCCACCGCACACAACAACAATAAACTTGTAAGGGACAGTTAGCCTAGACAACATGACAAAATTAAAAGGACAATAGGCAGACAAGGAAGTAAGAAATTGTACTGTTTAGTTTTGCAAGTACTAGAGAATTTAAATGGAGTTTTTGGTTGGATATGTGTGTGTGTGTGTTAAGACCCATATTAATACCTGTTTTAGTTAACTGAAAGAAATCTGAAGATGATTTTTACATTTGGGGGGGGGGAAGGTAAAGAGTGAAACGAGCATTCAGCATTTGTTTCCAATGAATTAAAGAGAGAGTAGGCACACAAAGCAATGACAATGCCATCACCAAGATCCTTCCCTGGGAAACCACACTCAGCACTGCAGCATCAGCTGCCAGAGTTCTGAAATGTTTATGAACACAGTTTTGTTAATGTTCTTGTAGATTTTATGTGCATTACTTGATTATTTTGGGAGTCTGGGAATGCTCAAACTTTCCCCATAATGATTAATTGCTTCTTTCTGTTATGCTGTTTTGGCTCATGAAAGGTTTCATAGAAATATTCTTTTACTTATAGATGGGGAGGGAAACCTGTACCACATTTCCTTACATAAGAGGTGAACACTTGCCTAAAATTCCTATTCCCATTTCATACTTTATTGAGATTAGTCTACATTACTTATTTACTATCTCTCAATTCCAGCCTAAATAAGAAAATAAAGATTGGCACTATAAAAACAAGAAACCTATTGGCTTAATTGTAAAGAGTTAAGCTGCCAACCGAAAGGCACACAGGTTGAGTCCACCAGCTGCTCTGCAGGAGAAAGATGGGCAATTTCCTGTGTGACTCACTGCCTCTGAAAATCTGCTGGAGGGTCAGGTAGGAGTCGGTTCTGACTGGAGGGTACATAACAACAAGCAGCACTTGCCATGGGGTGGGTGGAGGAGAAATGCTGTCAAAATGAGAAATACTACAATCTCCTCCCTTGTGATTTACTGCATCTGAAAACTCTCTGGAGGGTCAGTTAAGGGTCGGTTCCAACTTGACAGTGCATAAAAAACAGTATCTCTTTTTTTAATAGCCTGGTAAGTTGAAAAGCTCCAACAGATTGTAGAGTTCCACAAAACTGCCCCAGTTTAAGTTCTGCCAAAAACAAATAAACACAAGAAAAAGATACTTTCTATTACTTGCATGAAAAATCTCACCTATCAATCTCTTCAAGTTTTTCATCTATCATTGGACCCATCTGTTGACAGATATCTGTAAATACAAAAATACTTACAAATCTAGAACCTTAAGCCAGTTTCAAGAACCTTTAACAATTTTTAGCTTTAACAATAAAGCTCCATTATCTAATAGTACTCATCGCACAGAGATTTAAGTCTATGCTAGAAAAAGGGCTACAACAGATCCAATTTTAATGCTGTTCACCTCTAATATTAATATCATGTGACCAAAGAGAAGGTAAAGATAAAAATCAGAAATTCCAATGTTTCTTGGAACTTATTAAAACACAATTTTATAGGCTGTGAAATCTGGAGCTAGCTCCAAGTCTTAAAACTACCCAGAAAACTAAGTAAAATGAAATTTGAGCCAAAGTATATTAAATATGTTACTATAAGCAGATCAAATGTGAACATTTTTCATTTGATACATTCTGTGTATTTCCAAATGTAAACATTAATGTAATGAATAGCAAAACAGTCACAGTTAGCTTTACACCTACCCCCACCCCCCAAAAAATTCTCCATTTACCAGAGATTTTTCTTTCAAAGGATTTTTTTTTAAAAAAAAAAATTGAACTGTAAGAAGTCTGTTTTAATGGCTTCAAGCTTTCTTATGGTCTAAAACACACATCAGCATGGATCAAATAATCACATTACAAGGTTAACACTGATTATCTCTAAATTTGACCTTTAAAATCATATTAAAAGAGAATCAGGAATAAGATTTTCTAGTAATTTAGTTATTAAAAATGCCAATCTCTTCAGCCAATCTCAATAGTAGGTTTAAAAAAATACAAAGACTTCTGTTTAGAAAAGGATACGCATGTTTATGATGATCTTTGCAAGTAATATTATTTTATTATTCTATTCCCCACCAGAAATTTCTAATTTGTAGAAGCAAAGACATGGCAACAAAATCAAACTGAGAAAATAAATATGACTAAATATATTAAAGTAACCACTAAAATACCTTCTAAGTCCAAGAGGTCTTGGGAATCTGGTTTTGAATCTGTTGGATCTATACTTTGGAGTACCTGCAAAGCTCTATCCATCTTATCCTAAAAAAGTAATAGGGCACTTGTTAAAAACTCAGAAGTTTTAACTTCAGCGTATATATAAGATTACATAGTCCACGCATTCTCGAGGATTCATAATACATTTGAAAAATTCTTCATAGTTTGACAAAAGAAGAACACTACCTCATCTATACAAACAGGTTCAGGCTCTGTTATAACTTCCTCCACATCGTCATCGATTACATTCAATTTGTCCACGGCCGCTATGGAAACAAAGTTCATTTTAAGTTCTTCAGTATTTAGTATTTTAGTCATTAAATTACAGGTACTCCATGATTACAAACAAAGTAGAGGGGCGGAAAGGAAGCTCTTCAAATAGTTATCGCATTTCATAGTCTATATAAATCAATACATCCATTCATCCAGGTCACAAATGTTTACTTTGCACTTACTGTGTGCTTAGCATTATTCTAGGCACTGAACATTCCAGTGAATAAAGTCGAGTATCTTGCCCTCAACAAAACTTATATTCTCGTGGAATAAGATAAAATTATTAACAGAAGCTGTCCATTAAAAGCATTTCTGTGGAAGTGGAATGTTACCAAAGCAATGAATAAATATATAAAGACTGTCATCTATTTAGCTAATTTCAAAATTAAATTTATGAGCTGTTTCTACACTATTTTCTTGCAATTTAAAAAACCTATTCCTCCCATGAACAAAAGAATGTATTTGATTTCAATCAACTTTTGACACTAGTTAAAACAACAAACACAAAACAAAATCCCTTCAGAAGTAATGAGCTAGGAGAAAATATCTCCACCAACCCCTATCATGAAGTCAGTTCTAATATATAGCGCCCTTCCATCAGGCTTCCTAGGATGTATGTGTTTATGGGAGGAAACTGCTAGTCTTTCTCTCGCAGAGTGTGGTGGGTGAATTTAAAGCGCCAACCTTTCAGTTGGCAGCTCAGTACGTTATACACCTATGCTACCAGGCCTCCTTTGCATAACTTATATAAACTATTTAAATGTTCACTGCAACACTGCTAGAATGAACCATATTTTAATATAGTAAATTTTGGTATAAAAAATTACAATACAAATTTATATATAATCAGAGAATTTTGAAGACTCAAGAGTTAACCATCTCTTTCAAATATCTGAATTTGAGGAGGTTATTCTAACAGAATGTGGCCAAAAGAGCAGCATATATTAAAATATCAGAATATTTTTAAGATTGCCGTTTTCTCCAAGCTATGCCAAGGGGATATCACCTACATAGGATTCCCTGAGCATAGTCTATCATGTTATTAAAATTCATCCCTCCAATTTTTCTACCTATCTATAGGGTCAACTAAAGGAACAAGCGATACATAATAGCAAAGTATTCAGTATTCAAACAATTATTTCTCTTTCTCTGCATTACTTTAAGTGAACATAACACTTTCTACACACACAAATGATGTTGCACACAATGATTAAAGCACCTATTTTAAATTCTTTAGAATTAGTGAGGATACTACTAGGCTAACAGGGAAAGTGAGCTGTAATTCCCAAAGGCAGGTGGTTTGACCCTAACAGCTGCACCAGGGAAGAAAGATGAGCAGTCACCTTCTGTGTACCTCCAACCTCTGAAAACCTCCCATAAATCACCTATAAGTCAGTTCCAACTAAATGGCAACATCACCATCACTTGCTGGTCATAAATATCTCTAGCTTCAGATCCTTATCTGCATAATGAAATGACAAAACCAGCTATCTCAAAGAGTTGTGAAAATTAAAGAGACACGGGTTTTTAATAAAATAATCCAAAACACTTATTCTTACTTCAAATCACCATCATAATGAGAATTATACCCTTTCCTTCACACCTAGCTCCACCACTATCCTGCCTGCATAAGAAACGGGATACTGACAACTGAAGAATATTGTCTATTGCGACACAACTGAGTGAAACTCAGAAAATCTAAAATAGCAACATTACAGTCTTGACTACATTACTTGATTATTGCCACAAACTCTCCACAATCGCAGCAATTTGAGAAAGACTAAAATTAAAGAGTATTTCTAACCTCTGCAATAATACTCTTTCACCAAACCTCAAATACCCACTTCTTGACACAGTGTGTATTAGTAATGAATAAAACCAATATTCTTTGTATTACACAGACACAAACTGCCTTTTGCACTATGTAATTAGGTCAGGTTAAGAATTTATATGATCACAGATGATGTTACAACTGATAATTATCCAAGTGAATGAACTCTGAGAAGATTTAAAATATGGTAAGAAATGGTTAACAGAATTCTCCTGTAATAAATGAACCTGTAAATTTGAAAAGAAATCAGTTAACAAGAGTTAAATGTGTGTGGGGGGGGAGTGCTGTCTAGCTTGACCACATGGGACCCCTTAAGCTCAAGCAGAAGGGAGGACTGGGACACCACAAGGCAAGTGAGAAGCCACTTCCACATAAGTTAAATGCTAATATATTCTCTCAAGTAGTTCCCAACTTGCATAAAATTTTAGTTATGATAAACCACACAACCATTCTTTCTTTGAAAGGGTGTGGCAGGGAATCTATTTTATCATTAACAAGTAATATGTTGTCGTTGGTAGGTAGTGACTGTTAGTGACCCTATGTTAAACAGACTTGAACTCTGTTCTATCTTGTGCCATACTCATCATCTCTGACACGGTTGTTAGTCACTTGGTCAATTATTATCGTTGAAGGTCTTTTCTCTTTCACTGACCTTCCAAACTTTCTAATAGGATGTCCCCTTCCAAGGAACAGTCTCTCCTAGCAACATGCCAAAAGTATGTGAGACAAAGCTTCTTACTACCTATGCTACCCTCCCAAGCATGATGTCCTTCTCCAAGGACTGGTCCCTCTTTGCACCATGTCCAAAGTATGTCAGACGATGCTTCAAAATCCTTGCCTCCAAGGAGCAGCCTGGTTTAACCTGCTCCAGAATGAACCTGCTCATTTTCTTAGCAGTCCATGGTATATTCACTACTCTTCTCCAACACCACAGCTCTAAGGCATCAATTCTCTTTCTATCATCCCTAGTCATTGTGCAATTCTCTGATGCATAGCAAGTGATTACAAAGACCATGGACTGTATCAGGTGCACCTTAGTCTCCAGAGTGACATCATTGCTTGGCAGTACTTTGGAGAGGTCTCCAACAGCAGATTTTCCCATTGCAATACATCTTTTGATTTCCTGGCTGCTGGTGCCAAGAGTGCTGACTGACTGTAGAGCCAAGCAAACTAAAGCTGTTAACAGTCTCAATCTCTTCACTTTTCATCCTGATGATGCCAATTGGCCCAGGGGTAAGAATTTTTGTTTTCTTGATATTGAGCCTCAATCCATATTGCAGGCTACAGTCCTTGACCTTCTGCAGCAAGTACTTCAGGTCCTCCTCAGTTTCAGCAAGCAGGTTTGTGTCATCTGCATAATGCAGACTGTTGATAAGTTTTCCTCCATTCCTGATGCCACTTTTCTCCTCATACAACCCAGCCTCCTGGAAAATCTGTTCTACATATAAGTTGTAAAGATATGGAGATAGGATACATCCCTGGCATACACCCTTCCCAATTCTGAACCATGCAGTGTTTCCTTGTTCTGTTCTGACAACTGCCTCTTGGTCCAAGTATAGGTTACTCATTAGCATGAACAAGTGTTCTGGGATTCCCATTCTTCTCAGAGTCAGCCACAGTTTGTTGTGATCCACACAGTCAAAAGCCTTTGCATAATCAATGAAACACAGATAGACATTCCTCTGGTACTCCCTGCTTTCAGTCAAGATCCATCTAACATTAGCTACAATATCCCTAGTACCATGTCCCATTCTAAACACAGCCTGCACATCTGGCAGTTCTTTGTTGATGTGCTGTTCCAGCTGTTTTTGGATAATATTCAGCAGAAGCTTGCTTGCATGTGAAATCAATGAGTTTGATAATTTCCACACTCTGTCGGATCACCTTTCTTTGAAATGGGAACAAATATAGATCTCTTCCAGTCAGTTGGCCAAACGGTTGTCCTCCAGATTTATTCATATATGCTATATTGTCTACCATTATATAAAAACGTTATCATTTTCATGTCAATTCTCAAAGACAAAGATAAAAGATTGAACTTTTACTGACAGTAAAAGGCAACAATAATGAAAAGGTTAAAAAAGTTATTAAATTTGTATCAAATCCAACTTAGGTTATCAGTTAGTGAAATCAAATTCTAACTTAATACAGGGATTGTCTGCATTCAAAATGGAACTGAAATATTGAAGAGTAAAATAATAAACCTGACCTTGTTTAAGATTAAGGGAGCTCTGGTGATGAAGTCCGTAATGTAGGGTAACAGCTAACCCAAATGCCTAGCCACTCTTGCACTTCAGATACACAAATGACTCCGCCAGAGAAAGTTGGGCATCTCATCGGGGTGATTTATAGCCTCAAAATCCCTTAGTTAGGCCAACTGTGTGTCAGTTCCAACTCAGTAACAATGAGAAAGAGAGAAAACTTTAACTCACCTGCCTCAGACTCCAGGTTTAAATTAGTTGTTACAAAATTGGATGGAAAGAGTCCTACTCCTCTGTGATTTTCTCCTTTCCACCAGTTGGCATCACTGAAAATACAGAAAATATATTTGAGTATATTTGTATTACGAGACATTAAAATGAAAATTATAATTTAGCTTATTTTTAAAATATTACCTCATAGTCAGCTGTATTTGTTATTCTAGACATTTAATAAAAAATAAAAAAATAAAACAAAGCAAACAAAAACAAATCATTCACATTCTCATCCAAAACTCAAACTTACTCTACCAAGTCACTTTGTACTCATAACAACTGTAAACGTACAGTACAATGAAACTGTCCCATCAGGTTTCTGAGGCTGTAAGTTTTTATGGATGACTGCCTCATCTTTTTCCTAAGCAGCAGCTGGTAACATGAACTGCCAATCATTTGGTCAGCACCTTGACATTTAACCCACTATCCCAGGGCTCCTTTATATTAAACTTTACAACTGATCAGCAATTGCACAGGGTCGTACAAATTTGGGGAGCGGGAGGTAATTAGGAAAGACCTGGCGGGGACCTGAAAAGACAGGGTAATGGTGGCATAGTTCAATGGTTATTAATTTTTTTTAATGGCACCACTGGTATTGTTTATTTTAAAATGTGGAAAGCAGAACTACAGTTTCAATCTACGGTTTCCAGAATCACTTGTTCAGTTGTTGTTTGGTGCCAGTGACTCAGCTCAAATTCATAACGACTACTGTGTGGATTGACACAGTGACTGCCGCAGGGGGTGCAGTGTGGCACATGATGAGGATGGCACAGAATAGGACAGGGTTCAAGTTTGCTGTTCATAGGGTTGCTATGAGTCGTACAACTCAACGACATTAACAACAACACAGCAAACCCAACTACAACAGAAAATAACATTGTCCAACCCTGTGTCGTCCTCACAGGCTCTGCTGTACTTAACAAACTGATGCGGCCACTATACATTTCTTTTATTTGAGGAGGTGATTAATTTTATAAAACACAATGCAAAAAAACCCAAAAAACAAAAAACACCACAATGCATGGGAATGACTGTATGAAACACAATGTAAATGAAGAAAGTGTGAACACAATGTATACGAATTGTGTATGCAAACCAATATGAAATGTTGTTGTTGTTGTTGTTATGTGCCGTCAACTCGTTTACGACTCATAGCGACCCTATGTACAACAGCCCTAAAAGTTTTTTAAAAAACCAACAACCTAGCAATTGGTCTTATTTGGTTTGAGGCTTTTAATAAAGCATTACAGTTAATGCTGAAACCCTCTTTTATCAGTAATCCCAAGTTCCAACCTCACAACTGTCCTACCACAAGACTACCATCTTGTTCATTTATTCCTTCATACATACCTATCATCAGCTGCTTAGGCAGTCTCCTCCTATAAAAACTAGCAACCTATGAAACCTGGTAGTGTAATGTTATGAGTCACACAATCTACTGGATGGCAGTGGATTTTTGGTTTGTTGTTATTGCTAGGACCCAACTCATAGTGACTCTATGTACAACAGATCCTAACCCTGACCAATCTCACACTGTCACCACCTCTCACATGTTTAAATCCACTGCAGTGACTGCTCAGTCTTTAGAAGGGGACATCATGCCAAGTGGAGGGTCAGCAAGAGGGAAGATCCTCAATGAGATGGACTCACACGACTACAATAGGGTTAAGCACAGAAAAGATAGTAAGTATAACACAGGATTACGCAGCATTTCAATCTGTTGTACTTGGGTTGCTGTGAGTCAGAACAGACTCGATGACACTCAAAATAACAATGTTGTTGTTGTTATGTGCTGTCGAGTCGCTTGCAACTCAGTGACCCTATGTACAACAGCCCTAAACTCAGCTCTGTCCTGTGCCAATCGCACTGTCTCCGACACACCCATCCCAATTACCCCAGTCACTGAATCAATCTACCTCATAGAGGGTCTTCCCCTCCTGTACTGTCCCTTCACCCTACCAAGCATGATGTCCTTTTCCAAGGACTGGTCCCTCTTTACATGTCCAAAGTATGTCAGACAGAGCCTCAGAATCCTTGCCTCCAAGGAGCCACATGGCTTAACCCTCTCCAGGATGAATCTGTTTGTTTTCTCAGCAGTCCATGGTACATTCAATACTCTTCTCCAGCACCACAGCTCAAAGGCATCAATTCTCCTTTTATCCTCCCTAGTCATTGTTCAACTCTCTGATGCAGAACAAGTGAATACAAAGACCATGACCTGTATCAGACGTACCATAGTCTCCAGAGAGACACGATTGCTCTTAAGAACTCTGGAAAGGTCCCTGACAGCAGAATTTCCCATCACAATGTTGTTGTTGTTGTTATATGCCGCCCAGTCGTTTGCGACTCATAGTGACCCTATGTACAACAGCCCTAAACCCTGCCAAATCCGTTCAGCATTTGTTAAGCTCAAGGAACTGAAAATTCAAACCTAGAGTTGCTATAATCAAGGATGCTTTAGGCAGAATATTAAATGATCCAGGAAGTATTAAAAGAAGATGGAAGTCATTGCATCAAAAGGAATTGGCAGACACAGAAGAATTTAATGAAATAACATATGAGCAAGAGTCTATGGTGATGAAGGAAGAAGTTCAAGCTGCTTTGAAGGAAACAGCAAAAAATAAGGCCCCAGGAATAGATGGTATACCCATCACAACATATCTTTTAATTTCCTGGCTAAAATCCCCTCCCAAGTTTATTTGTTATTAATTGGGCAGCCTAGGGGTAAGAAGCTGTAGTGCAATCCCAAAAGCACATGGTTCCACCAGCTGCTGGAAGGATGAGCAAGTTCCTCCCTTGCGACTTACTGCCTCTGAAAACGCACTGGAGAGGCAGATGTAAGTCGGTTCCCACATAACAACAACAACTCATATTTAGGTCTTTACACAAAATCAGAATTTATATAGTGTGAAAAGTTTGAATCAAGTTTTATTTTATTCATATTCTATTAAGAGATAATCATGGAAAATTTATGGATTTGTTCATCTTTACCGATTTAAGACAATCCATGTTTGAAAGAACAAGGCCTCTTTGTTCATGAGCCTCTTTGAGGATTCCACTCTGTTTAACTATTGAACATGTATATTTACTACAGTTTGTGAATAAGCCTTGATACTTGGCCACAGACATATTCGACCAATATTTCTTCATAACTATTTCAATAACATAAAAATCTGTCCTCCCATGTTCTCTAGGGGAAAGCGCTACTTGGATTTTAATTATACACTCAAGTTTTAATACAAGAAAAGTTAAATCTTTACAATATCACACACGGTTATCTCTCCACTTCTGATTTATATTTTTCTTTCAAAGAATTTTATAATTTCCTCCATACAGGTCTTTGTCAGATTTATTTATTCCTTCTTGTTGTTGTTGTTATGTGCCATCAAGTCGTTTGCGACTCATAGCGACCCTATGTACAACAGCCCTAAACCCTGCTCTATCCTGTGCCAATCGCACTGCCTCTGACACACCCATCCCG